AGAGAGAAGAATGGGTGATCAGTTTGGTGGTTTTAGAGAGAGAGAATGGGAAGAGGGGGTTTTCTTAGTGGGTTTGCGTTTTTCCCTCACACCACACGCACAGTGTGAATTCTCTCTCGCTCTCATGGGGGGTGGGGGTAGGGGTGGGGTCGAGTGTTTATGAGCGGAGAGATGTTGGGAGAGAGAGAGAGAGAGGCTGCGTCAGGTCAAATATGGTTTTCTTGTTTCATTTATGTTGTTTCGGTAACCTTAGCCACGCTCCAATCCCACGCGCTTCAACAATCGTATGGAGTACTTCACTTGTTACAAAAAAGGTTTGATCACCCAAAAAAATAAGTGTTGATCTAACAAATTAAATTATATAAATTAATTTAATTTAGATGATAATTAAAATTATTTTAATGAATATAATAAATGGTAGTATTATAATTAAATATAGTTCTCCATAATATTTACATTAAAAACTTTTAAATTATTTATTAAAAAACATATAATATATATTAAAAATTAAAAATGTTAAGCCTCGAGAAAAATAAGTCTGGACCGGTATGGTACTCTTGCCCATCCTTGAGTCGGCGCTGCCTGATGCCACATATGGCGGAGATAAATCAAGAAACCAACGGCTCGTTAAACTAAGAGAGAGGTATCACACACACCTACAAGGGAGGGCGTGAGAGATCTTTAATTGTTCTATCACTTCCATACTCTTGTTTTCAAGAAGAATGATCTTTTAGATATTTTCTGATCATTTTCTACTTATCTTGGTGTTTGTGCCAAATGAAAACTTGACAAAAAGACCGCTACACAGGGAGTAACAACATATTGGTGAAGATGTAGTTTTATTCAGGAAAAATAGATATATTATTTTTCGTGGTATCTTAGATACAATTGTTGCATTTAGTGTCTAAGATCTCATAGAAAGTACTTATTCTAATTTATGAGCCCTGATTAATATTATTTTTAACTCAACTTATTTGATTGTATTTGTAAAATTAAAAAATAAAATTTAATATGTAAAAACTACATAAAAATCTTTCAAAATAAGAGGTGGCATGACTATTTTATACTCCCTCCGTTTGTAAAAGTAATTCATGCTTTTACTTTTGATAAATTTATTTGGTAATTTAACTTTCCAAATATATCATTCGCGTTGAAGAAATACGAGAAACAAATCACTTAAATAACTTATTATATCAATACAAAATGGATAGAGAATATTGCAAAGACTTTATTTGGATGTATTAGTCATTTTATTAAAAAATGGAAGTATTTTGTCAAAAATAAAAAAATGAAAGGGGAAAAGTTTTGAGAAGCAGATGGAGTATTATAAAATAAGTATTGAAAACAAGCAAATAAAGGGAATACATTTTGATCATGTTAATAATGTCCTGAGCAATTAATTTCCAAACGGAAGTATGAACAAAATACATTTAGTGAGGCATTCTCTTATTCAACTGAAATTAAAACATTATCAAGAATGAGCCTTTTAGACAACATTATCTCAAACTGTGCCATTATTTTTTGAAACATCTAAGGTGCTTTATTTCTAAAATTGATGGTTCATATTCCTTTTAACCCTCATAAAGTCCATACCCCTGTCCCCCACCCTAATCCGACCTAATGCACAATGACCACACATTTAGAGGGTATGAAGATGAGGTTGTGTGGGGACTGGGACGAGGGTTTAGAGGATTAGGTGGGTAGAAACATCAATTGTGTGAACAAAGCACCAAAGATACTTCAAAGAACAGTAATACCGCCAGTAGTACCGTTACCTAGTGAAAATAGAACCAAGGCAATCTGAAATATACCTTTATCATTAAAAAATGTTAGAAACTGTGTCTCTTATCATGATGAGAACTAAGTTAAAAATATACTCCCTCCGTCCCTAAAAACCATTCCCCTTTCTTTTTTCATCCGTCCCAAAAATACTTCTCATTTCTATTAAAAAGTCACTTTTACCCCTTATTTTTTCATACCCTACCTATCACATCATACCTTTTTACTAATACTCTATCCATCAAATCATACTTTTACCCATCACATCAAAGGACATTTTTGGAAATTCAATACCAAAATACACTTCCTTTAAATCCCTTTTCAAAATAAAAAATCCCATGTTTTCCGGGACGGAGGGAGTAGTATTTTTTATTTTTATTGATTAGGAGGGGTGAGGGGAGTATATCATGGAACAAACAAAATGGAATAACAATCTGAAGTGGTCTGAGTCATGCATGTAAGAAAGCCAAGAATTCAGATATGCAAGAATAAAGGAATTAGGATAACATTTATAACTCATGAAGATCATCATATATAGCAGATACATACATGGAATGCCATGAGGCTCTTCACTTTTATGACACACAATCTAATCAATGTAAGCCTTTAGGAATTTATGAGGATTGAGAATTCTCCAAGAAACAAATCAGGCCATAATCAAGCACAGATCCAACCTGGTTTGTCTGGAGTTTTGATTTGAAATTGGCATTCACCCATTTTTGATTTGAAATTGGCATTCACCCATTGAGTGAAAAGAAATTTCTCTAGATAGAAGTAAAAAAATATGACAATACCAAAAAGGGATATGCTAGGGGTACACCAAATGTGTACCTCAAATGTACACCACTCCCCTTTCTACCATTCATTTTATTTTATTTTTATTTTTTATTTTTTTTTTGAATTTTTTTGCTTTTTTTTTGTGATGATGGAGGGGGTGGGGGATGTTTGGGGTACACTTTTGGTGTACCCCTAGCATTTTCCTACCAAAAATGAGTTTAAGTCTTTTAAAACTAAAACAAGAGTATAATGGCAGTGTGGTATAAGAGTACGTGTAGGCAGTGTGATGAAAAAAGTAATGACTTTGTAATTTATTGGTGTGATCAATCAATTGCTGGTGATCTGCGGTGGCACAATGGTGGTCGGCGGCGACGAATGACAGTGTGGCGATGATAGTGTGGCAGTTACAATGTGACAATGTGGTGAGTATGACAGTGTGAACTTCTATTTTGGTCTTAAAAGACTTATGATTCCTATTTTGGTATTTTCATAGTTTGTTACTCCTATCTAGAGAGCTCTTCTTTAAGGAAGCCGAGATTGCATTTTCTTTCTCAAACCCAAATTCATTTACTCCCATCATCCTACAATAAAATAAATAATTCTATAATTTTTTTACTCTAATCTGTTGATAAATCTTGTTTATTTGTGCATTTTGACAAACTTTTTTTAAATATATATAAGTTGCATTTTTATTTTTATACTGATTTGTAAATAAAATTATTTTAAAAAATATGGAGTTTTGCCTTAACTCCAAAGTAGTATCAAGTAAGTACAAAAATTGAGGTCGTTTTTGCATTGACAGATCTCAATTGTTGTGTGTTTATTTTGAATTTAGAATTGAATTTGTATTAAACACATATATCTTCTACAAAAATCATGTTCATTCTTAAATGACATAGATCACATACCTCTTAAGAATTTTATTTTGAATCCAAATTGCAAATTTTGAAATAAATGAATATTGATGGTGTAAATTCTCAACCTTCACTTTTGTAAGATTTTACAGAGTTGTTGTTGTTCGTATAAATTAGTGGATCGGACCACTATCTAGACCGTGTCTAAAATAGTGAACTAAGTTTTGAATTTTAATTTAAATAATTAGTCAATTACTAAATGGGTCTGGGTAGAGGTAAAACTGTAACTTGAGTTTTTTTAATCAAGAAAATTATATCATTTTGTAAAGTTTGTTCAACCGAACGCAACTGTGTAGACGGATCCTGAATCTGAGCTACGAAACGAGCAACACACAAGCCTATAAATACACATATATACGCACGTGTGGCCCCTATTCTCTTCTAGCAGCGTCACCATCTCGTATGCTTCTTATTTGTTCTTCTCCTTCGTGTTCTTCTGACTATGCGCATCAGACGAAAAGAGAGGGGGGAGGGAAGCAACATACGAGACATGACCAATCAGAGAGCTCTTCGCCAGAGTTCGTCGTGATGATCTCGTTCGTAATTCTTGATTTTTTTGTTCGTACAAGGTGAGTCATGATTCCATATATATAATGTTAGGATTAGTTTGTAGGATAATTATATATTCATATTCATTCTACAATTGATTATGTGATATGAACTTGTGATGGAACTGTTGAATGGATTTTTGAGTAATATATTACCAAATTGGAGTAGGAGCATAACTAGGACTAAATTTACATTCACATATGTATGTTGATTTGTTCAGAATGCTTTGAAATTTGTCTTGACATCAGAGAACATCACTGGCGATCGTCGAAGTGAGGAAGAAAATGACAAGAGGTGATTAGGTTGTCAAGCGGTACGTCACTACCGTCTGACGGTAGCTCGATATTGTGCGACAGTAACCAGATACCAGCTACCGGTAGCACCAGGTACCGTCACAAGCTAAAACCTTCTACCAGACATCGCGTGGTTGCGGTAGCTGACTATTGGTCGATGGTACCTCGCAACCATCTGGCAGTAGCACAGTACCTTTACCGTCACAATGCACCATGTAAGTCTGGTTGTTGTTATATCTCTTGCATTCTGGTCTTTGATGTAAGACCTTTGTAACACCCCACCCTGAGTGACCTGAGTCATCCAGACTGGAGTGCTAGGAAAATCGGGTTACTTGGTGAAATATTATATATTTAGAAAAAAATTCTCATTTCAATAATAAATAAGTTTTACAAATATTTGAGTAAACATAAAATAATTATAAGATTTGAACAGAAAATACAATTTAAGGTTCAAGCTCAAACTAAAGCAAAATAAGTCCAAGGATTTATTCATTATTAATTATTAATTTAAGAAAAGATGATTCTTGACTAGGCACGCCCTCCAAGTCTCTGCCTTCCTTCCTTAACAGTTGTTCCCTTTGCTATTACATGCGTGCAGTTAAACAATCCACGCTCAGCATAGAGCTAAGTGACAAATAACCAGCAGACATATAACATACAAATATATTTTAAGGCATCTTCACTTATTTAAGTTAATGTTTTTCACAAACTTTAAATCATTGAAAAAAATAATCTCACTCCTGAAATACTTACTTGGGATCATTGAGTAAATAATCTCATTTTGAAATAGTTACTTGGAGACATTTAGAAAACACTAGATGTTCCGTGGTTAACCTTAGTTTAGAGACAAAGTCGTGACTAGACTGGAGCCCCGCACTGGTCGATTCTTAGTTTTACTTCGGATACCTCCCGGTAACCTCAGGTCCGGTAATCAAGTTAAACACGCTTTTTATCGGGTCAGTAGAAATGTTAACCCAAGCTTTTGCTAATGCTTCCTCCTCAGTCATGGTCCAAGATTTTGGAGCACTCTCAGTGGTGCTCGATCCCCCTTCACGTTATCCTTTCCCTTTCGGTTTTTTAAAAGTTGTGTTTCAAGCACAACTGAAAGAATTATATTTAGGAAAATTTCTCTTGTCTTTCTGATGATTACAATATGAACAAAGGTTGTATATATATATATAGGATCCCACAGGCTAAAAACTCTATACGTAAACTAAATACAAAAGGAAAGAAAATCAATATACATTCGGAAACTACCAAAATAATATATGCATAAATATATGGAAATATATTCCTTCCTTTAACATATTCTTTCCTTCAACAATAACCTCATCAATATCGTCCTTCAAAAGGAAATAGACGTTGTTTGTGGGAGTGGTCACAGACAACAGCGGCGTGCTGGTGGTTGGGGCGGTCGAGTGCCACGAGTTTTGAAATTGCTGCCACAGAATTTGTTGTCATTATCGCATATGAGCTCAGCGGTGAGCTAAGCCGAAAATGCAGAAAAGGGGGAATCAGAAGAAGACACCGGTGGTCGTAATGAATCTATTGTACTCAGAATTGTGGAAAATATTTAACAAAAATACTACTAGAGTTCATGGAAATGGATGAGAAGTGTGAAAATGATAAGTGGAATGATGTGTTTAAATAGTGAATGTTTTAAATTTTGTATTTTTTTAAATTTTCAATGGTTATGTTCAAAATAATTGAAATAGTGACCGATGAACTGTGAGATTTCACCACAAATCACGCATTGAAAAAACAAGAAGGGGGTCCGGCTTTTCTTGTTTTGGTAGAGGACCGTGTCCCCTTGCCTTCCTGTGCCACGCTGGCTTTCCCCTTCAATTCCCTTTTGCGTACGGCCCACCCAGAGCCTAATTGAAATGGGGGATTTAGAGTATGTTTGGTTGGAGGTAGGTAAAAGTTTTATTAGGTAGGTAATGGTAAGTAATTGAAGTTAGGTAAAGTAAGATAATAAGTTAATAAATTGTGTTTGGATGTTTATTAGGTAACGTGAGGTAGGAAAAGAATAAAATTACTAAAATACCTTTGTGGTTGTTTTTCTTTATTTGTTTAGGATGTATTTATATGAAATTACCTTTCACATTATATTCTTACTAGTTTTTACCCCGTGCTTTGTACGGGCTTTTATATTCGTACGTAAAATATGTATACAAAATTATTTTTACATCAATTCTAAACATTTTTTTATTTAATTTATTAGAATTTATTCAAATTTTAAATGTAAAATTTTAAAATTAAATAAACACTCTAGGACAAAACTTCTAAGTAACATCATTTTATATAAATACAACTAATCAAAATGTAGTTGTCATACATTTCAGAATAAAAACATCAATCAAATTGTTCTTCCACACACCAAATAACATAAACAATGACTTCAAATGTAACATATGTTCACCAAAAACAATGACATAATTAGACACAAGTCTTTTGATAAATAAAATAGTGACCACTTCAGATTTCTTCCTTGTTCAGAACATCGTTGAGAAAACTTTCACGTACTTCCTTCGGTAATCCAAGAATTGCTTTCACAGTCTCAGGTTTCTTCAAAAGGAACATGTACGCATGACTCTTACGACTACCCTAAAAATTCATCGATCCAACAAGGTTCCATATATCCGTTGGAGGTAGCGGATTCTTTTCTTTCAAATACTCAGAAGCATATGTTTTCATTGCATCCGAAATTAAAGTCATAGCTTCGTCACTTAATTTTATATTTTCTTTTTCCTAGTTTTGTCTTTAGACATATTCTCTGAAAATATTGGTGCATCATCAGTTCCAACTTGCTTCGTATTACCGGCGAGAGGGGTGGGACGAGAGGGGTGGGAGAAGCCTCTAGAGTGCACTCATTGTTGGATAACAAATCATCAATGTCATTTATAATTCTACAATCACTCCTGTGAAAGCGTCTCAGCCACCCTTTCTAGATTGTCGCATCTCTGACAGTGTTTCTGCAAACTCTTTAGTAGCTCTATCTTTTGCACAGAACTCACACATCTTATCATAAAATAGTATTGACTTGTCCCGCCAATCTTTCGCTTCTGGATGAGCCTACATAATAAATTATATTTGTATTAGAATCGTGGCATAATACATATGTCAATTTCATATATAAAAAATGTAGTTTGTCCATACCTCCACAAAAGCATCTCACACATAATCACCGACGTCCCAAGTCATTGTGGTTAAGTTGAATCCCCAGCCACTGGTTGAGATGTGTCGGAAAACATTGAATGCAACTGAGAACTTATATTACCTTTAAGTAGCCGCATATGCCCACGAAACTTGTCTTTAGTCAAATTCTCATCTGGATATTTTTCTTTCAACTCTTTCAAAATATAGTCATAACTCATAAGTTCGAGGAGTGAATGTACCTCCAATACGATTTCCTTTTCTGTGTTGTTCCAAACGAGCATCAATAAGAAACTCATCCATGTCCTGAGTCCAGGTTGTTGTGTGCACACCTCCTCGATTGTTTTTTGTAGTCATTCTATAATATAAGCAAACAAATAAGAACACATACTACATGTACAACAAGAATAACACATATAAATATTACATTCGTCCTAGTGTATCTGTCCAGTTTGACTTTTTCGGGTCAAACTGAACAAACTTTGAACTCCAATTACTCTCAATTTATATTGCATATTAATATAATGAAATACAATTTTGAAAGTTCTCAATACGATAAATCCAATAAAGTCATTTTTATATTAAAATATATTACGATTTTCATTTAATTGAAGCTCAAAATTTGTCCAATTTGACTTGAAAAAGTCAAACTGGACAAATTTACTGGGACGGAGGGAGTAGCCATTATGCATTCTTATGTCGCACAAAAAAAGAGTACATACTCAATAGTTTTTAAATTTCAAAATCCAAACAGAATGTTGCACATAGTAAGTTTAGATACACACACCATTATAAGTCATTCATAACATCCATGTGTTCTCGTTCTCATTATGAGCGTGAGATATGTTATACATACGTGTTTCAGTCTCACTCTGAAACACGTATGTTATGCATACGTGTTAAATATCTCAGAAGGGATCCGTGTGTCATCTAGTTGTGTTAGAAATAATGCTTCTAACTTAATTATGGTATTTAGAACATGACGCATTAATACGCCACGTAATAATACGCCACTTCTTTGTAATACTTCACAGAGAAATTCCTGAACGAGCAAACAATCGTCGCAATTGCCTATTAATGATACGGTGGCCAAGTATGTACAAGAAAAGAGCAACTTGTTCTTCAATACTTATTCACTTCGTTCCTTTTAATCCACCATGACGCATTAATACGCCACATAAGTTCAAAAAAACATCTGATCCCATTCATATCATATCTCGACATACATGTCTATTCGTCAACACCTCTCGCACAACATTTTTTAAATCCTTTGATTCTAAGGAAATTGATTCATCAACAATTTTCACTCAATCTCTTCTAGTGCGTAAATACCATACTTATAGTAATATGAATACCGAAAACAAAGTTGTCATATGATTTAAGTAGAGATAATCAAGCCTATCATCATCCATTGATGCCACAAATCAGAGCCTAAAAATTTAGCATAATTCACGTTAATTTGTAAGAACTCAAATCACTAGCACCTACAAGTCCAGATAATTGCAAAAAAATTAGAGTACAATAACAAAATTGCAAAAAACGAAGTACAATAACAAAACTACAAAAACAAAGTACTCAAAATTACACAATTGTAGAAAAAAAGAAAAAAATAACTAGAAAAAAGCACAAAAAAAGAATAGAAAAAAAACCACAAAAAACAGTGTTAGAGTGTCATCCCATATCGGAAGTTCAAGAGCAAAATAATCAGTATATAAGCTCTTGAGTTGAACTAACTAATCGATTGGATTCAATCTTTTAATATGGTTCAACTCAAGTATCTTATTACCAATCTAGTTCCATACCTCATCCTAAATTTTGTCAAACAGGAAAAAAAAGAGGAGAAACGAAAGCAGAAAAAAATAAGCAGAGAATGGTAGAGTGAATCGAACACTGAAAAAAGGGAAACAAAAAAACGAAAGCAGAAAAAAAGTGAACGAAAACTAGAAACTGAAAAGAAAATGGTGATGCGATCGACTGAAGATGGCAATTGGTTTTCCGTATGGTGCAATCGGGTGAAGGGTAGCAACGGAAAATATAGTTTATTACCTTGATATTTCGCTAAATTGGCGGTCACCTAAAATTTACTCTTGAGAGAGCTAACTCTAGCACCCTCAACCTCCCCTATCTCTTTTAACCTATCTCAATTTTTGTTTTTAAATCAACCTCTCCACCCCAAGCAAACACAGTGTTAGCAAGGCTGTTCAGATTCGACACTTCGTTCGCTTGAAGAAGGGTAAGAAATTTCTACACATCAAACATTTATCAGTCCAAATGTTAAGTTTCATGCGTAAAATCTCCGTTCATCACGGGAGAATTACATTGATTATAGTTTCTCCAACTCAGAGACTCGGTTTTCTTCAACACGCCCCATTTTCATCATCTATATCACCTCAATCCGGATCTGTCGATGCAAAAGGAGCCTCATTTGCCTGTTCTTACTTGATAAACGAATTAGGGTTCGACAAAGAAAAGGCTCTCTCCGCTTCCCGGTTGGTGAGATTCAAAACCCCAGATAAACCAGACTCTGTGCGCCAGTTCTTGAAAGCCCATGGATTCGCCGATTCCCAGATCTCATATATGGTCAAAAGGTTCCCACAAATCCTCTCGTGCAATCCCAAGAAAACCCTCTTGCCTAAGCTTGATTTTTTCCAGTCTGCCGGGATCTCGCAGGAAGAAATCACAGACTTGTTCACAAGGGCACCACTACTGTTCCGATTGAATGTCCGTGATAAACTGGTGCCTTCTTTTAATTATCTGAAGGGAATGTTTCCTTCGAATTCGGAAACTGTTATAGCTATGAAGAGAATTTCGCTGAATGCCGGAAACCTGCGTCTCAACTTTAAGATGCTGGAGCATAATACTCAACTTCTGAGAGATGCAGGTGTGCCTCAATCTAACATTGATAAATTGTGGGGGCATAGTCCAAGGGTTTTAGCGGTAGATAATGATAAATTTCTTGAGATTGTGGAGGGTGTGAAGGCCATGGGATTCAACCCGAAAAAAGTGAAATTCCTTCTAGCAGTAAAGGCATTCACTGCATTGTCCAAGGACACTTGGCTGAAGAAGATAGAGGCTTACAATAAGTGTGGGTTCTCTGAAGTGGAGATTCTTGAAGCTTTTGTGAAGTGCCCTTGGTGTATGATGGTCTCAACGGAGAAGATTAAAGCTCTGGTTGATTTTCTTGTTAACAAAATGGGTTTTGAAAAATCTGTGTTCTTGAAGAGGCCTTTGCTTTTCTCGTACAGCTTGGAGAAGCGGGTTATGCCTAGATGCCTCGTTTATCAAATCTTGGTAGCGAAGGGTTTGATGAAGAGCGGTTTAGGCTCATTACTCGACGTTTCTGAGAAGAGATTTCTAAAAGATTACATTGAGTGTCATAAAGGTGAAGCTTCTGAACTGTTGAAAGTATACAAGGAAAAACGAGCCCTTGTCCAATGAATGTGGACCTGGATATGAAGGGAGAGCTTCATTGTAGCTTATAACTAGTACTATCTACTATGGGCTGTTAAATAGTGGTAAAAATACAATTCTTGATTCTTTTTTTATCTATTCTATTGACTATACCTAGCAGCTATTTTCCGATTCATCCTGTTTTTTCAGGGAGTTCATATGTTCTTCTTCTTCTTCTTCTTCTTCTTCTGCTATAATCAATTAATCCACTTGGTTATCCTGCCAGAATGTTTTTTTTACAAGGGTTACGTTACATGCATCTTTGAACTCTATTAGAACTCTCTCTTTGATTTTCTAATCATAAGATTTTAGAGCGCAAGCCCCTGATTTTGCCATCCTAGAAGCCTCTAATTAGTATCCGTATCAAATTAAGTTGCATATTCATTGTTTACATGGTCAATTTTAATCATTTCCTTTGCATATTTTTGCTACTAATTTGATAAAATAATAATGTTTTCATTGCTTAATTTGCAAAACTTTAGATGTAGTTTTAAAATGAATAAATTCCGTAAATAATTACTAATTATATGTAGTTATTATGGAGTAATGTTTAGTCGCCACATTTAAAATACTACGAGTATATAAATAGTCTTTAATTTTTGAAAATTATTTCATAATTTTGTATTTGGCCAAAAGAACTGCTTACAAAATGATTCATAAAAATTTGAGTATCTTTTATGCAAAATATCTTAGAAATAATAACAAAGTATCAAAAACTACATGTAATTAATGACCATTTATGATTTTTTTTTAAATACTCTGTATAATATTAATTTTTTTAATTTCACGTCAATTTCTAAATAAATTAAACTAAAATAATTTAGTGAAATATTGTAAACCAAGAATGGCAATTTTAATTGGGAGTAAGGGAGTATCATACAAAGAATACTGAGTATTTTAGGGTGTGGCTATATCCACCCCATTATGACTACTAACACTCCATTTATAGTAAAATGGACATCTATGCCCCTAAAAATACCAGGGATATTAGATGTTAGCTAATTTTTAAGGACAAATTTGTCAATTTCACATAAATGGAGTAAATTTAGCTTTTCGGGAGAGAATATAGCAACACCACCTACACAGAGTATTTTATGATTCATAATTTATAAAATAGATAGCCCTGTTCATTTCTGTTTGCATTTGCGAGTTACAATTTTCATCAGAATCAATTGTTAAGATCTTCAAGCCACCAATTAGGTACATCTTTTCCATGGTTTAAAAAATTCAATTCCTATTGTATTGCATCCAGAAGAGTTCAAATCTTTCTTTCCTCGCAAAAAAAAAGGAAAACCAAAAAATTTGTCATAGCTTCTGCTTCTTTTTGGGTTTTTTCGTATATTCGCCGTCACAATGGTCCGACTTCTGCAAGAAAAAACAAACAGAAGTTGTCACATATCAAGTCCAAATAGGGCAACTAAACATAAATGCAGAGTTGGATAAATCTGGAAATTAACAAGTCTGAAATCCAAATCACCACCTTGTGTTTTTTGCTTTCTTTTTCTTTCTTCTTCATCTTCTTTTTCATCATCTTCTTCTGTTTTTTACCCACACAAACTTTTATGTCTTCCCCTTCAGAAGAATCCTGCAAGGTTTACCGCTCTTCCGAAGTTCATTGCAGTAGTGTTTTATAAAAAGAGTACAAATCGAAATGTGCAGTCATTGGTGTAGAATAAAGCACCTCATAATCACCAAAAGAATCCACGTGACGAATTACTCTTCCTGAAGTCGATGTTCCACCTGTTTGTTACAAAGTGAAAGCATAATATCAATGTTATTGTGAGTGTACCTGACATTCACCCAACTAAAGGAAAAAACACACAAATGTTAATTGTTCTTCTAAAATAAATAAAGAAGACGAAGGTGATTACGATAACGCAGTTCTTTGTAATACTTCAAAGAGTCAGATCAATGCCAACAACTATTGTAGACAAAGTGTATTGTTCAGAAAAGGAACAGAATGGTAAGGCATGTGGCACATAAATTGTCCTTAAACAAGACCTGGGTGCCTTTTATTCAAGTTTTTTATTTTGAACATAACTCTTTTTAATAAAATCAAATGAGATCAAACCAACCGGAAACAATTAGACCAAATCAGACGAGAGACCAAGCACTTCATGTTATATTTCGGCCTTTTCGGGCAAGAAAATTAGGCAAAATCAAAAAGCATTTAGACCCAACCAGGCCAGAAAGATTTGGACCAAATATGAAGAATTCAAATCAGATCACACTTATCATTTTTTTTCAGGTGAAGAAATCAGGTCCTTACTTCCACCCAGACTGTGCAAGTCATTACAAGCATATGTTACCCACACCATACAACAGTGTACAAACAATGAAAGTAGGGCTTTTAGTTTAATAGTTTCACCACAATGAGAACTAGTAAAAAAACTGAGTACCAACCAAAAGGTGCGAAAATAAGAAGAATTTAATCTGGCAGTATAAAATATATAAAATGCTAGGAGGATGCCAAAGATTTCAAACTATATTGACACCAAGCTTCTTAGTTTGTGTGCCTAAGAGAAGCTTGATGTCAAAATAGTGTCAACATCTTGGTGTCCCCCTAGCACAACTCATAGAATATAGATATGATAGAATGTTTTCGTGAGTCTGTCCAAAGGCTGACCAGATTGAGTATTGTGTGTGCAGGGAAGTTGGCTCATGAATCTGAGTAAGTGAAACTCACAAGATTATTACTCCCTCCGTCCATTATCTTTCTTCCCACGTTCCTTTTCGGTCTGTCCAATATCTTTCTTCGCATTTCCTATAATGGCAACTATTCTAACTCTAAAAGACTTATTTAATATTTACCCTCACCTCTCATCCACAAACGTCCTCATCTAGTCATTGTTATCTTAACTCTCGTTGCCCCCTCTGCCTCGACTTCCGATGTGTAGCCTTCTCTGTCTCAACCGCCTGCGTCGATGCCGCCCCCTCCGCCCAATGCCCAATCACCGCTGCTGGAATCACCACAATTCTCCTCCCATCTTCATCAACTTCTTGCAGCTTCATCAACTTCATTCTTCTCCGTCGATTTTGATTTTAGGCGTAACCCTAGACTGTGCAGGGGGGAACAGTGAAAGGGGCAGCGATGAGGTTCAGGTAGGATTCAATTTTGATTTTGATGAAGAAGGCAAGATCCTTATAATTGGATGGCCTAATCCTCAAGAAGAAGTAGAAGAAAAATGAAAAATGGGATGATTTTTGGAAGACGGGAGAAGGAGAGAAGCAGTGAGATCTGAAGAAGAAGAAGAATGAGGCGGAGGCTAATCCTGATAATTGGAAGAAGGGAAAATATGGAAAACCCATTACTTTTTCATCCAACATTAAAAATCGTGACAAGTCAAACCGAGAAGTTCCAAAATTAAAGACCGCTCTTGTCATTGGTTTACTATAACAAAAGGAGTGAGACCGGTCAAGCAGAAGAAGCACCTCTCCAACGGACTTCATCAATGACGTCAAAGATTTGCTTGGCGTGACTCACATCAGAAAGGTCCCATACGCGATATGGTTGGCTAATGTGGTGTTGGTCACTTGGTCCCCAAGAGAAACACATGGAGAATGTGTTGGACAATATTGATCTGAACAAGGCATACATGGATTCTTATCCATTGCCTATTCCGGATCAAATGGTGGGTAAAACTGCCGGATGTGAACTTCTCAGTTTTCAACCACGAGATCTTCGGGGCCAAGGAAGTTGAGGAGAAGACATCCTTTTGTCACCCTAAACGCACGTATTGCTATAGGGTGATGGCCTCCGGATTGAAAAATCCAGGGCAACTTATCAACACATGGTGAATAAATTATTGAAACCACTCATAGGCATCATAAGGGAAGCTTATGTACAAACGAGAATGTTCTTGGCATTCATGGTCACCAAGAAGAGAATTGAAACAAATTTGTAGCCGATCAAAGCAATCATGGATGTGCAAGCACCAAAAACCGTCCGTGAGGGGTGTTCAAAAGTTGATGGAGAACTGGCAACCCTTAATAGATTTTTGTCCAAATAGATTAAAGAACGCAACCATTCTTCAAAGTCTTCAAGAAGCTAGCAACTTTGAATGGACAAAGGATTGCCAGAAGGCTTTTAATGAGCTCAATGCCTACTTTGTCTCGAATATTGTCTTGTCAAAACTGGAGCCACGGGAGACCTTGTACATATACTTGGGAGTTTCCCCTCACGCCATAAGTTTGATCCTCTTTCGAGATGACAGGGTTCAAAAGCTCATCTATTATGTTAGCAAGGCCCTTGACCAGGGAGCCAGAGAAAACAGATATACAGCAACTGAAAAGACCACATATGCTCTATTCATCACAACTAAAAAATAATATTGAGTTTTAACTTTAAGTATTAAAAGAAATAATTGAAAAACAAAAAAACTTATGCGCACAGATTGAAAAACATACTCTTGATTGAAAAACATACTCTTGATTTTTTAAATTTATAACTAAATTAGGTCTTATTTAGGGGGATAAAAACTGTGTACTCCTATTTTGGGGATAAGGAGTATGTCTTGGTCCTACCAAGGTAGATTTCTTTATTTTTAAATTCTTATTGGTTAATTAATTTTAACACATTTAACTTGTTTGGACACTTTAAATAAATAAAAACACTAAATACGATAACAATTAGCTTCTTTCACTCAAATTGGGTTCTTTTTTAGGACAAAAATATGTTCCACAATAGGACACTTTTTCTGAGACTGATGAAGTACAATTTATCATCAATATTCTACAAATCACGGCAAAATTGTACTCTGTTTTATTCATGCACTACACTTTCAAATTTTAATCAGTTTTTTTAATTAAATACAATTTTAGGAACGTCTAGATATCTAGTATTAGGATAGTTAGATAGACCTTTTGGCCTAAGATAGGAACGTTTGAAGATCTAGATTATGATAGCTCACTAATCTTTGTGTGCTTATTGTGCTTTGAATCAAATTGTTAGTCGGTTGGTATGCTTACTCTGCCCCTATTATGCTCTTTTTTCCTTACTTTACTCTTACTTCATTTGTGCTTGACGGCTTGTATGTCTCCTTTGTAAGTTTAATTTGTCTATGCTTGAGTTGGGAGTACTCCCTTCATGTCTCACTATGCTTACTAAGCCCGTCCCTTACCCTGCTCTTACTCTATTTGTGCTTTATGTCTCCTTTGTTGGTTTACTTTGTCTCTGCTTGAGTTGAGGTCTCTTGTGTACAAACATCCTCCCTAGACTCCATTTTTGTGGGATTTTACTGGGATTTTTTTTGTTGTAGATTGAGCTCATGCAGAGGTAATGAGCCAATGGTTTCATTAGTTTGTGTGATTTTAAGTCAAGCTAGAGACACAATTGCTTGGATTAGTACTATCAAAAAGAAGAAAAAAAGTAAAGAAATGAGGACTTACTAGATTGGACAGTCTCTTTGGCATTTTTTACAGCGAGTTCAACCAGTCTTGGATCAACAGAAGACAATCCATTCGGTTCCTGCAATTTTCTTTCCAGGAATTTCGCCAATGCAGCAGCCTTATTCGTCTTCAACGGCCCGCCCGGATGAGCCTGCCTAAACACAAACCCTAATCGATACTCTATGCATTAAGGGTATAATACATTTGCCGCCGCAAGAGGTGGGGAGGATTACCTGATCGGAGGACGGGCCGGAGCGGCGGGAGGAAGAGGAGCGAATTTGCTTCCCCGAAGGGCTTTTCTCTCTTCTTCCGTCAGTTCTTCCATGAAATCTCTTGCCCAGAGCTGCTGCCGGCTACAACAATGGAGGGGTACATACGTAATATAAGCTCTCCCTATTCCTCAGTTTGGTTACGGTAAAGGTAAAGGCCCGTTTGGATGAATCTCATTGGGCCTGGGCGTCCGGATAGGATTCAAGTCAAACTACATTTTTTAAAAAAATTGTTCTGAATCTATATATGTTTATCCAATCCGGTTTGATGTTAAGAACCGAGTATTTTGATATAGATTTATTTGGTCTCGATATCGAGTGTCGACGTGATAAAAACCAATGTCTTGTGTATAATATAAAGTCGACATTAATGATAAAATCGTTATAAATATGAGAACTTATTTTGTTAGATATCGCATTGTAAGTACCGTGTTCCTAACGTTGAAGTCTAAACGAAACTTTTTATGTAACCTTGAACTCTTCTAGACCAGAAACTGTACTCTCTTTGTATTGAATTTATCACCACAATTATTATTCTAAACTTTCGATAACTTTTGTCTGTCTGCATACTTTTGTTGACAATTTGATAAGAAACCTTATTTTGTATAACTTTTATGTAGTTTTAAAAGTATAATTGGTACTTTTGATTTCTATACCAATTTAGAAATAAAATAATTTTAAAAGAGATGAAATGTTGGACGTTGTTCGAACTGAAACGATAATTCTAGGACAAAGACGATATTAAAGGTTGGTTTAGAACCCAACTTTCAATGAAGAATGATGGTGTAAATTACTTGACCGGTCAAACTATACTAGACCGGGTCTAGAATAGTTTGCTTGATTTGGCAAAGTAAGAAAGGTAAAAACACGCAGATTGACCGGTAGGACTTTATGTGGAACACCTGTAGCCCAATTTATATTATAACGGAGAATGCACGGATGCTTTTACAAGGGAGTTTAGAGAGAGTGAATTCGGATCCCCTCATTCGAAGGTTACAAGAGGTATATATACTAGGCTGGGGAGCAGGACCACGTGCGCCCACGTGGGGGCATGCTGCTGGCGTGGTGTGAAGTGACGCTGCCTTGTCATCTTGTGCGGGGGTGGCACCCTTGTCGCGTTCTGGTTTGGAAATATTCCCTCAGCATCCCTGCAATTCCAAACACTACAGTCCAAGTCCTTTTGGATTCCTCTTGCCGACACTTCCCCAATTCTCTAGGAACTACACCGGTTGGTTCTTGCAGGTTGGCGTGGCCATCTTTGTAGGGTGAATTAGTCGCCGGTATAGTTTGACCGGTATACTATCCTAAGCATACCGGTCAACCTTTTGGTCAACCAGTCATCCCTTCGCCGACGATCTAGACCTCTCTTGCAAGTTTGACTTCTTTGACCGGTCAACTATCTGGTCTTGACCGTTGATCGGTCATGGGTGAAATACACCCATCATTAAGCCCTCCACTTCTCGGTTGTGCAATTTTGTCATAAGCGGGAAGTAAAAACTTAAAACTGGACCTTTAAATTTGAATTTTTGGCTTTTCCCGCTCGAAATTTTTGAATTTCAAAATTCAAAGTGTCGGTTATGACACGTGTTGCCCGCTGGACGGCGTCAGACCTGCGCCCT